CCCTGCTCGGGAACTACTGAAAAATGTCATCATACCTCCCATTGGTCACTGACTGCATAGTTCATGTGTTGGGAACCTTGAGTGTTAAGATTTTAAGTTCCTTGAAGGTGGAAACCTAATGAGAAGACTTGGCCTTGAGGCCCTCTACTTAAGAATCATTTCAAGCAGTTACCATCGAAACAAATACCTGCCTCTTGGATCAAAACAAACAAACAAACAAACAAACAAACAAAAACTGTTAAAGAGCAAGGAATCTGGCGCCCTGCCTAGCTTGGCAGTGAGAGCATCAGAACAGGGTTGAGGCCAAATCCATGAACCTCATTTAGTTAGTTGCCCCTGAACTTGGCGTGGAATGCCTTGGCCCATATTAAAGAAAGCGCTTCACTCTGGGGACACTGGTCAGCCCCAGGCCCATGCTCCTTAGTGCCACCACAGGAAGCCTTCTCTCTTCCTCTGAGACCATATCGACTGAAGCTCTGGGCTTACTCACTTCCTGAGTCATCCAACCTCGCCTGGCCATAAAAACATCCATGTCCTTATAGGTGGAGGCCTTACAGATAGGTTGTTGAGTCAGATTTATGGGTTTGGGAAAGAGATGCTTTGGATGGTTTTAAAACCTTTGGTGAGTTTGCAGAAGTCCTGGACTCAAGTCCACCACCACTCAGAACAGTGAAAGTTTCAGAAAATGCCTGGAAAAGAGCATCTCTTTGCTGAATGACCTTAGTAACGTACTCATTCCCCAAGTAAATACTGAGCCACTCTGTGTTCCAGACACAGTTCTAGTTTCTGGGAATATACCTGGGAGCAAAACAGACAGAAATCCTGCCCTTAGGAGCCTCTACTCCAGCTCCTGGTTAAGTCCGCTTTTCACATGATCCAAGCACTTTGGCAGGTGTTAGGGCTGTAGGAGTGATGGCACAGGAGCCCCTTGGGTAGGGGACATGGCGGACACCTCTCTCAGAAACATTGCCTCAAGCCTCATTGTTCAAATCTGGTGTGTGGACCGGCAGCATCTGCACCTCCAGGGATCATGGTAGAAATGCACCATCTCATGCCCTTCCCAAGACCTTCTGAGTAAGAAATTGCACTTTGTAATAAGATCCCAGGTGAACTGTGTGCAGGGAAAGGCTGGAAATGCCTTACGACAGGACTACAAGACACCAAATCCCACGAGCTGTCCTGCAGTAAAAGGGAGCAGAATGAGAAAATCCATTTGGGAAAGCGCATCCCATGCCTCCCTTGCAGATTCGGAAAGGCTGTGGACTAAAGACTGAGACCCCCTCAGAAAGAAACGTGCTTAAAAATCCAATGCTCCTCCAACGTCTTTGATGGCTCAACAACAAACTACCGACTGTAATCACTCAACAGAGCCAGCATCCTGTGAAACACACCTTGGGAAAAACCCTCTGGTATTCACAGATGCAACTTTCTTGGCTTCAGTGACTGCAGGTGGAGCGAGCCCACGGGATGATAACTGGCAGTTTTGCTGAGGAACAAATCTGAATCATGCCTATTGCCGGCTGGGACTCTGGGCCAAGGTCTCAGCTTGGGATAGGGTGAAGATGGGAGGGCTAGAAAGATCGAGGGGACCCAGAGACTGCCAACTGCTGGTTAACTTGTGGCATAAGGAAGATAGATACAGAAAACACTGCATTCCATAGCTGAAATGTGTATTTGGAGAAATACAGGAGCCAATAAAAGCATGCCCTATTTGTTATTTGGGGGATTCAAGGTCATGGCTATATATATTCCACAGGTGTCAAGAACCTGTGATGACGATGATGATGGCAAAGACAAGCACAGATAACTTTTTAAAACTTACTATATACCAATCACTGTCCTAATTCATATGTTCCCTACAGTGAGACTAAGTGGTATAATCCTCATTTCTGCAGATGAAGAAATTGAGGCACAGCACTGGCTCCTTGTTTTAATCCCTTTCATGCTGAATATGACTTCTGAGACCTAGGTGACAGGCAGCTGACTGGTACAGACTGAACTGGCCAGATGATGGAGTGGCCACTTTATCCCCCTAGCCAGCCCCCGAAGGCTGAGAGCCTTGCTCAGAGCCCCATCCCAGAAGTGGGCAAGATTCAAATTTGTGTCTTAGCAAAACTGCCGATTATCACACCATGGGCTTATTCCTTCTGGAACAGGGTAAAGCAAGAACACAGAATCCCCTTTGGAGGAATGTCCACACTGTTCCCAATTTGTGAGTGCCACTTAGGTGTGAAGCAGCCCTAACTGGGCAGGTACAGGCTGGAGTGACCTCAGAGGTGGGTCTGGGAGGGGACACCTGGTTTGCTCTGGGCCAGGCATAGAAGACTCAGCACAGGGCTGGACTGCAGGGAGGACTACGCTTGGATTGTAAGGTCTGGGATCTTGTCACAATGCTGGTCTGCAGCCACTGTGTGGCCTGTGACAGGCCTCTTTCCCTGGGTCTGTCTTCTCAGTGTTTGAAAATAGAGATACACGCCCACACCTGGTCCTGGGCTGCACCTTGGGTTTCAACTCAATGACTGCTTTTCAGGAGGTCCCTCCAGGGCTCCTTGGGGGTTATGGCTGCTCCAGGCTGGCAAATCCAGATCATGCGAGAGGTGGCGTAGCCCTCCCTCTCTCAGAGACATACAGAAGATCTGCCGCTTCCAAATTGCACCAACACCCATGCCTAGAACCCTTGTAATGAAGCTGGAACTCCTGCTGTGTGGTGAGACAAACCCAAAAGTAAACTACCCCTGCTTCTTGGGATGGCACTAGGAATTTGCCATTCTTCACTAGGCAGTCCCTGGGGCCTAGAGCATTCAGTTTAGGTTTCTCTCACTTTGAGACAAAGTATAGGGTGGTGATAATGAAGTCAGCCGGGCACAGCCTTGAGTGCTGGCTGTGTGACCCAGGACAAGCCACTCAACCTCTCTGAGCTCCAGCGTGCTCATTGGTAATTGGTATAAATGAACGTACGTATGTCATGGGACTGCCCTGAGGTGCTGGCAGTGCTTTGTAAAGAGCAGCTGTTACCCTTGCTGTTGCTTGGACATTGGTTATGAGAGGGGAAGAGTTTTACAATTTGCTTTTTAAAAAACATCAACAAATTTCTAAAGGCATTTTCAAATGAAATTTTAAAATAGATTTTTCTCTTCTTATAAAGTTAAAATTTTTGTATGAGGTTAGGCACAATTTTTTAATTAACAAATAGCAATCAAGGGCTTCGAAAGAATTCCAAGGACTCCCGTGGTGCTCTGTTCACTGGTCTTCCACCCTCTCCCTCCCGGCAGCAGTCGCTAGCATCTTCGTATGGCTCACCCTGGAGGCCGGCACGCTCTGCACCTCCTGGTCAGGACCTGCCAGCTCTCCCCTGCAGCTGAAGCCCTCTTGCTGTAAGTTGTCCCTTTGTCTCAGAGCACTCACCCTAACGGGGAAATCCCTCATTTCTTCATTAACTTCCAGGTTACTCCCTGCCCATTAATGCGGAGCTGGAGAAGCAGGGCGCACAGGACCTTACAACAGGGACCGGGAGCAGCAGCTCGGAGATTCAGCCCAAATTTGGCTTCCTTGTCCCATGGCCAGCATCAGGGAGGGAGGAAGAGGACAGGGACAACCATCAGCAGGGCCCCCGTAAGCACACACACTTCTCATGCAGGACTCCTCTGACCACCACAGGGGGTAAGGCCAGGTTCACGGCCACACAGTGGTTGAGCCAGAAGAGCAGTGTTTTTGCTTTTTCATCTAACAGTGGCACCATCTATACAAAATTTTGGGCAGGAGGGGCAATGCATCTATCGGAACTCACTGGTGACAGGAGCAGCAGGAGCTAAATTGGCTGAGCTGAACCAGGCTGTTACTTCTTAGCTGTGTGACCTTAGGGAAATCACCCAACTTCTCTGTGCCAACAATTGTGCCTAACTCACAGGATTCATTTAAGGAGTAAATAAGTTGATAAATATCAAGTGATTAAAATCCTACCTGGCACATCCATAGCAAGGACTCTGTATATATGCTAGATATCATGTTTGTTGTTGTTAAGCCTCATGAAGGCAGGAGTCTTTGTTTATTTTGGTTACTGGCCTGTGTTAGAACAGTGCCTCATCTTAATAGGTGCTCTATAAACAGTTGTTGGGTGAATAAATCAATTTTCAAGGTAAAACTCTTTCGCAATGCAGCCATTGTTTATCTTGGCCAGCAGAGGGCAGCAAATGGCTGTGACTGATTTACTGTGGGCAAAGGTGGTTTTAATTTTGAAAGCTACCAGAGCTGTCCCTCCTGAGCCAGTTCGGGGAATACAAGGTTGCCATGCACCTGTCCAACTGCCCCGATCCCTCCCACCTACCTTTGTGCAGGTTAGAATGATTGTCAGGCATTCAGCTCACAAAAAAATCTTGGTTCCATTCCTTCTCAACTTTCAATTTCCTTCCTTCCTCCCTCCCTTCCACTATCCCTGCTTTTCCTCCCCTCTCCTTGTTCTCTGATCTGCTTCCCCCCACCCCCCACACTCACTCCTCTGCATCAAGCTAGTATACTGTACTTACGCCCAAATTTTATCTGTACAATTGCAGCTTGTACTGCAAACCATGACGTCTAGAGTAAATCCTTACACAATATTCTTCCCAACCGATAAATGCTGTTAAATGTAGCATACTTTTTAAAAAACATGTGATTTGAAAACTCTAGACCCAGAGAGGTACTATAGTTTGGCCAAGGACGCACAGCAGCAATTAGGGGTAATGTTAGAGCCCTAGCCTCGGCCTTCCGCTGTCCATTACATAGCCCCATCACACACACTCTTTTGCCAGAAGGAGGCTCATGGGGTCCCTGTTTGCCATCCAGTCAATGCAGCCATCAGCTTCTGGCCCCAGACCCCTTTCCCCTGCACTGTGGCACAGAGGAGCAGACTGCTTTGGAGGGCAGCTCCCTGGAGGCTCCAGGGACCCTGGCCAGGCGGCCACTGTCACTAACTTCTTTCTTCCTCAGCTCACTCTGCGGCGCCCCTGCCTGCGGCTCGGGTGTTTGCTCTGTGCTGCAGCGCAAGTTCATCCTCCCCCGATGGCGCACTTCACTGTCACGGGCAGGACCCTCACTGTCAGTCCGAGGTGAGTTCCTGAGGAGCCTCTGGGTCTTGATGGAACGGCTTGTGGATGGAACGGCTCCAACACCCAAGCCTCACCACTGCTCCAGGGGTCACCCAGCGAAATGATCTCCCCAGCTTGCTAGATCCTGTCTTTCCTTCCCAATTATGGTCCAAAAAGTCACACTGGGATAACTACCTGGAAAAAATATTTAATTGATCTCCCAACTGGAAAACAAATTCTTTATGAATTGATGAGTTAAAAAAGTTAAAAAGGGAATTTTTTTAAACTAGAAAAAATATGGGTGATTTCTTATCTTTATTATCTCAGGGAATATTTCTTTAAGCATGAAAGCAAACCCAGAAATTATAAAAGAAAAAATTTACAGGTTGACTACCTAGAAATTAAAAAGTTCTATATCCTGGTAAACATCTAAATCAGAATTAAAAGCAAATGACAAATGGAGAAAAGTTTAGCTACACATGGAACAGACAAAGGATGAAAATAGTAAATCAGAGTCTCAGAGGAAAATGGATAAAGAATCTGAACTGACAACTTAATATGAAGTCATAGGAATATGAAGCATGCTCCATGTTACTGGTAATGAAGTAAATGCAAATTCAATTTCTGCATCTTGAAGTTGCAAATTTCAAAACTACATAATGTCCGTGGGGATGCAGGGCCACAGGCTCTCATTCTGCTGTTGGCGCAGTTCTGGAGGCCTTTAGATGCTTACAGGTATCCATGGTAATGCTTTCCTGTGTAGCCTTTGTCACTATTGATGTATTTATTACCCATTGCCTCCTTCCTCCTGCCTTCCTTTACCAGGCCAATATACTTCATGATGTTAGGGACATTGTTTACTGATCTGCCCCAAATGATTAGAAGAGCACCTGGCCAGGCAGGGCACAGTGACTCACGCCTGTAATCCCAGCACTTTGGGAGGCTGAGGTGGGCGAATCAGGAGGGCAGGAGTTCAATACCAGCCTGGTCAACATGGTGAAACCCTGTCTCTACTAAAAATACAAGAAATTAGCTGGGCGTGGTGGCGGGTGCCTGTAATCCCAGCTACTCAGGAGGTTGAGGCAGGAGAATTGCTTGAACCTGGGAGGCAGAGATTGCAGTGAGCCAAGATCATGCCATTGCACTCCAGCCTGGGCA